AATGCTACTGGAACCAGCGCAGCAAGCGGAGCGGCCCCCAATCAAACTATTTCAGAAGCCGTTTGGCTCCACGTCATCAGTCCAGGTCTAACGCCACGCGACCTTAGAAGGCCGTCACTAAGATCTTGCGGAACAAGTCATGTTACACGTGCTATAAAAATACGAAGGGGCTGTTATTATCAACACTAATAAGTGTTCATTAATACTAACAAGCGTCAATTAAAGGGCTTAAGATGCAAGAGAGCTCACAAGTCACCGGCTGTGACGCGGCGCAGGACAAAAGTAATCGCTGAGGCACTCGGCTTGGCAGCGTCTTGGGCCACTTAGCAGGCACTTTATACGCCTCGGTTTCCCAATCCGGTCCGTGTGGGTCACATGGCGGCGTTCCATAAAGAGGAAGCCAGGCTGATCTAATGAACGGGTTTCCAAATGGAGCGCCTTTGATATGCCGGGATGAAAGGATGCGCTTTAATGATATAATCAAGGAGGCTTAAAGCCCAGACAAGAGGAAGATGTGGGAAGGGACGCGAAGGGACACTGGGGACGCGATCTTTCCAAAGCGGAGCCCTTTAACAGCCAGTGGGCTGTGTTGAGTCTTATGGAAAGGGAGGGAGGGAAGCGCCACAGGACTTGGGGTTGCCACCTCCGGGGTGGGAAATCCCTGGAGATTTGGGGACTGAGCTTGGGGAGGGCAGGGTATGACACCAGGCGGCTGTTTTCTCCAGAAGAAGAAGAAGAAGAAGAGATTGGATTTATAGCCCGTCCTTCACTACCCAAAGGTGTCTCAGAGCGGCTTACTAACTCCTTTCCCTTCCCCTCCCCACGACAGACACCCTGTGAGGTAGGTGGGGCAGAGAGAGCTCTGACAGAAACTGCTCTTTTGCAAGGGCAGCTCTGACAGAACTATGGCTTGCCCAAGGTCATCCAGCCAGGTGGAAGTGGAGGAGGAGTGGGGAATCAAACCTGGTTCTCCCAGATTAGAGTCTGCGGCACTTAACCACGACACCAAACTGGTCCAGGGGGACAGACTCCTGCCCTAGATTCAAACTAAAAAGAGAGCCAGTTTTGGTGTAGTGGTGAAGTGCGCGGACTCTAATCTGGGAGAACCAGGTTTGATTCCCCACCCCTCCACTTGCAGCTGCTGGATGACCTTGGGCAAGCCATAGTTCTGATAAGAGCTGTCCTTGAAAAAAGAGCAGTTTCTGTCAGAGCTCTCTCTGCCCCACCTACCTCACAGGCTGTCTGTTGTGGGGAGGGGAAGGGAAAGGAGTTTGTAAGCTGCTCTGAGACTCCTCTGGGTAGTGAAGGGCGGGGTATCAATCCAATCTCCTCCTCCTCCTCCTCTTCCTCCTCCTCTTCTTCTTCTTCTTGATATTAAGCAGGGCAGGGCTATGCCCTTGATGGTGTTTCCCAAGTCTTTATTCCTCACTGGGGGAGGGAAGACAGATTAACACCTCTCGGCATTGTTTGATGTTCAGCTAAACCGGCTTGGAGCCGGGGCTGGATTGGCCCCAGGTTTTGGTAGATGTGATTGCCAACTGCCAGGTGGTGGCTGTAGATTTCCTTGGACTACAAGTGATCTCCTGGTGACCTGGAACAGTTCCCCTGGGAGGGAGATCATCAGTTTGGAAGGTGGGCTTTTAATGTCATTGTACCCCACTGTAACCCAGAGTCCACCCCGAAAATCTCCAGGAATTTCCCAAACTAGAGCTGGCATCCCTACGAATTTGCTGGCAGCAGCTCACTAGAGAGAAATTTATTGTCTTAGCCATAGGCCATAACAGAACATAACACATCAGAGTTGGATAAAAAATACATCGGACTATAAGATGATAATGTAGGCAATAAAAATATCAGTATCTTACACTGAATCCTATACTCTTTCTAGTAAAGGTAAAGGTCTCCCTTGCTCGAAAGCCAGTCGAATCCGACTCTAGGGTTGCGGTGCTCATCTCCATTTCCAAGCCGAAGAGCCGGCGCTGTCTGAAGATGTTTCCATGGTCATGTGGCCAGCATGACTAGATGCCGAGGTGCACGGAACGCTGTTACCTTCCCACCGAAGGGGTACCTATTTATCTACTTGCAATTTCTTGCTTTCGAACTGCTAGGTTGGCAGAAGCTGGAACCAGAGACGGGAGCTCACTCCTTCCGGCCTGCAGTTCAGCGTCTTTTTACATGAAATACTAAACTCATTCACATTTTTCTTGTCGCTAAGGCAAATGACGCCATTCTACTAGCGACACAATGATCATGGTCCGAGAGTAAAGATTTGACCAAATCCAGATCAGAAAGTCCATTAAGCGGCGGAACTGTGGGGGATGATGTGCTTTAACCTAGGAGCTTCATGCCACCGGCAGAAGCTCCCATCGAAGGGAGGATTATTCGCTTGAAAAAAAATCGCGCTCTCGTCTACTTATTTTTTTAAGTCATCCGAGAGGAGAAGCCACGGTTTGTTGTTTTGCTTTTTACAGTAATCCAGAAAGAAAGAAAAAATAAAGCTATGTGCTTTTTTGTCTGGTTCCTTCAAAAATAAATAAACAAGCCCTGTTTTTCGTCTGATGACTTAGAAGCGATCAAACACACACGCAGAGGTCATTTCGGGGGGGATCGCGGGGGATCGCAGTTCCGCCGGGTGAGGTGCAGGGGGCGGGGCACATGATGAAGCCCCGCCCCCCCGCTTCCGGCCGCCCCCTGCTTCCGGCCCTCATTCAGCCAGGAGGAGGCAGGAGAAGAGGGAGGGTAAGTTGCTTCCTCCCTGCCTCTCCCCACCCCTGCCTGCCTGAGGCCAGGGAGGGCCTTCGCGGGGCTTCCTTGCACTCCCGCTGGCCTTGCAGATCCACCGCCGGGCCCTCATGGGGCTCGACAGTGGAGCTGCAAGGCCGGCAGCGGCAGCCGGGACCGTTGGGGGCGGGGTGTGTGGCCTTATGACACACTTCCGGTGATGTCAGGGGGTGTGGCATATGCTAATGAGTTATGCTAATGAGTTCCCTTAGCTCTTTTTCTACGAAACGACCCCTGCACACACGCACACATTCCCTGCTAGCGTTGCCAGTTCTGGATTGAGAAATTCCTGGGGATTAGGGGTAGGACTTGGGGGGCGGGTCCTCAGCAGGGTATAATGCCATAGAAGCCATACTCCAGGGGAACTCATCTCTGTCGCCTGGAGATTAGTTCTAATTCCAGGAGATCTCCAGGTCCCGCCCAGATGTTGGCAACTCCACTCCCTGCACAGATGAGCCCTGTTGGGTATTTCTCGTCTCACCCCGTGGTTCCCAGACTTTTTGAAATGGGGCCACTTCTACACCTGCTGCAGTTCTCAGAACCGATTCGCAAAGAGCTCCACGCTCAATAGATAACTTCGGACAAACACATAAAAAGGACACTTTCGGAAGGGTAGCCCGGTCGGTCGGCGAGACCAGTTTCACCTTAGAGGCCAGCAAGATTTTGGGGGGATGAGTTTCCGAGAGTAAATACTCTGATTCAGGTATCTTGACAAAGGGAGCGTTGGACTCCTAGAGCTCATATTCCTCAAAATCTTGTTGGCCTCTAAGGTGGTACCTGACTCGAATCCATTACACAAAGGACACGGAAGGACACACTCGTTCTAGACTCCAGTTCCCCACTGCATTATAGATAGGGTTGCAAGAATATTGTTTTGGAGGAGGAAGAAGAAGAAGAAGAAGAAGATATTGGATTTATACCCCGCCCTTAACTACCCAAAGGTGTCTCAGAGCGGCTTACAATCTCCTTTCCCTTCCCCTCCCCACAACAGACACCCTGTGAGGTAGGTGGGGCTGAGAGAGCTCTTGAGAGAACTGCTCATGAGAGAACAACTCCAAAAGAACTTGTAACTGACCCAAGGTCACACCACCATGGTCACACCTCCAGCCAGTTTGGTGTAGTGGTTAAGTGCGCGGACTCTAATCTGGGAGAACCGGGTTTGATTCCCCACTCCTCCACTTGCACCTGGCTGAATGACCTTGGGCAAGCCGTAGTTCTGATAAGAGCTGTTCTTGAAAAGAGCAGTTTCTGTCAAGAGCTCTCTCAGCCCACCCACCTCACAGGGTGTTTGTTGCGGGGAGGGGAAGGGAAAGGAGTTTGTAAGCCGCTCTGAGACACCTTTGGGTTGTGAAGAGCAGGGCATAAATCCAATCTCTTCTTTTTCTTCTTCTTCTTGTGTAGGAGTGAGCAGGGGTCGTTTCGTAGAAAAAGAGCTAGGGGAACTCATTAGCATAACTCATTAGCATATGCCACACCCCCTGACATCACCGGAAGTGTGTCATAAGGTCACACACACCACCCCCAACAGTCCCGGCCGCCACCGCCGGCCTTGCAGCTCCACTGCCGAGCCCCATGAGGGGCCCGGCGGTGGACCTGCAAGGCCGGCGGGAGTGCAAGGAAGCCCCGCAAAGGCCCTCCCTGGCCCCAGGCAGGCAGGGGTGGGGAGAGGCAGGGAGGAAGCAACTTACCCTCCCTCTTCTCCTGCCTCCTCCTGGCTGAATGAGGGCCGGAAGCAGGGGGCGGGGCTTCATCATGTGCCCCGCCCCCCATACCTCACCCGGGGGAACTGCGATCCCCCGCGATCCCCCCCGAAATGACCTCTGGGAGTGGGGAATCAAACCCGATTCTCCCAGATTAGAGTCCGCACTCCTAACCACTACACCAAGCTTAGCCTCCTAGGCACGGCCTGAACCTTCGCACAAGAACCTGCCTTACACCGAGTCAGCCCCTGGGTCCATCAGTGTTGGAACTGTCCGCTCAGACAGGCAGCGGCTGAAGTCATAGACTCGATGTACACTGATCTTTCTTTGCTATCCCAAAAACGGGGCAGGAACAGATGGGAATCTGAAGGGTAGATTTCCCAGGTGTTAAAAGGAGTTCTGATAACTATTTCGGCGTCTTCTTTAAAAACAGAACAGGACCTCGGGGAGCCAGTGAAACCGATATTCCCGGAAGACTTCCTATCAGAGTCTCAGTTCCCGTCTCCGTTCTGTCCGCAGGTCGTGGCCGTGGTCATGGACATGTTCACCGACGTGGACATCTTCAAGGACCTCATCGACGCCGGGTTCAAGAGGAAAGTGGCCATCTATATCATCCTAGAGGAGAGCAACCTGAAATACTTCCTCCAGATGTGCGAAAGGGCCCAAATGCACGCCGGCCACCTGAAGGTAATGTAAGCGCGAATCCAGACAAGTCAGCCACGCTACACCTTTGTAGAGAACAAGTGTCTTAGGGCACCGTAAAAACAGCTTTCTTATTCTGTGGGTTTTTTCATCAGCAGATATGGCTAAGGTTGCCGATTCCTGGAGATTTGGGGGCACTTAGAACGCAATAACCCCCCGGTGATTTTCACAGGAGGTGAGACGGTTCAGGCTGTGGTACGATTCTGCAGGGGCACCGAATTCAGCTTCCTCGGAAGCTCCGCTCTCATCAAAAGCCGCTGGCCCCAATGCTTGAAAAGCTAGGAACGCAAAGTATGCGATCGGCGCCTCCTGAAAATTATGCAAAATTAGCAATTTGCGGAGCTGCCAAAAACAGTTTGCTTTGGGGCAGAATTTAGCGTCGCTTGGAGAGACATTTAAATTTATCCTTTCCTTTCCTTACCGCAGAATACATACATCCCTGGGATACATTATCCCTGTGAGGAGACGTGAGGGGAAAGTACCGTCAAGTCACAACTTGACTTACGGCGATTCCATAGGGTTTTTGGGGCAAGAGAAGTTCAGAGGTGGTTTTGCCATTGCCCGCATCCGCGTCACCATCCTGGTATTCCTCGGAGGTCTCCCATCCAAACGCTAACCTGGCCCGACCCTGCTTAGCTTCCGAGATCTGGCGAGATCGGGCTCGCCTGGGCCGCCCAGGTCAGGGCATGTTGCCAGACAGGCTTAGAGAATGTGGCTTTCCAAAGTGAAGCAAGATTTGAGCCAGGGACTTCCCGGCTCCCGGCTCAAGCCACAGTGCCCGGCTGGCTGGCTCTCCCAGCTGTACAAGAAGGCGTATGTTGGCACGATCGTTTCCCTCGGCAGGCATGGGGATATCCAGGGCCGTGGGACATAGGACTGCCAACCTCCAGGTGGGGTTGTTGTTCAGTCGCACAGTCGAGTCCGACTCTTCACGACCCCATGGACCAGATCACGCCAGGCCTTCCTGTCTTCCGCCGTCCTCTGAAGTTGGCTCAATTTCATGTTCGTTGCATCGATGACACTGTCCAACCATCTCATCCTTTGCCATCCCCATCTTCTTTGACCTTCAGTCTTTCCCAGCATCAGGGTCTTCTTCTCCAGGGAATGCTCCCTTCTCATTGGGTGGCCAAAGTATTTGAGCTTCAGTTTCATTATCTGGCCTTCCAGGGAACAGTCAGGGTTGATTTCTTTTAGGATTGACTGATTTGATCTTCTTGCAGTCCAAGGGACTCTCAAGAGTCTTCTCCAGCACCATAGTTCAAAATAATCTATTCTTCAGCGCTCGGCCTTCCTTATGGGGTACAAATCTCCAGGTGGGGTACAAAGCGCAAAAAAACTGCTGGCTGAAATCACTAAAGGTGAACAAAAAATGTATAAAAATAATATTTTAATACCAAGTTTAATGACACAATAGCCATGTAACTAGATAAAGCCAAGGTGTTTTTACAAGAAACAGCAGTAGTGCAGAGAAGTCAAGTCCCAAAACTATTCGATGTGTCTCACTCCTGCTGTATTGTAATTCCGTAGTCCAACTTGACATACATTCATCATAGAGTGGACTCATATAGTTCCTGGAAAATCCATAAGAACATAAGAGATGCCAATGTTGGGTCAGGCCAAAGGCCCATCCAGTACAAGGTGCCATCAGCAGGTCCATCAGCAGGTCCACCAGTGGGGCCAGGACATTAGAAGCCCTCCCACTGTTCCATATAATCTTGGAATCCATATGCCATAGAGACGCATAGTTCGGATGCAAGCTGCCACGTTTCGAATAAGCCGTGATCCTTTGTGATTGAATAAACAGGCTTCTGTATGTGCTACTACGGAGATTGGGCCCCACTGTAGCCTACTGGTTCTGAAAAAGGATTGTTCGAAACACGGCAGCTTGCATCCGGACTACACAATACTGAGTTGCGTCAATTTCCTCGCTGTTTCTTGTAAAAACACCTTATCCAGTTATATGGTTATTGTGTTATATATGGTTATTGTGTTATTGAACTCGGTATTAAAATGTTATTTTTATACCTTTTTTGTTCACCGTTAGTGATTTCAGCCAGCGGTGTTTTGCGCTTTGTACCATTTCATACACGCTGGTTCCCCTCCTTCTTTTGTTAACCTCCAGGTGGAGCCTGGAGATCTCTTAGAACTACAACTGATATAGAGGTAACAGAGGTCAGTTCTCCTGGAGGAAAAGGCTGCTTTGGAGGGTGGACTCTACGGCATTGTACCCTGTTGGGCACTGTGTACCCTGTTGAGGTACCGCTCCTCCCAAATTCTTCCCCCGAATCTCCAGGGATTTCCCAACCTGGAGTTGGCATCCTAGAACTGCAACTTCTTTCCCCACCTAGAATTACCACTGCTCTCCCATTCTCCTGGAATTACAACCAGCCTCCCAACTACAGTTCCCCTGGAGGAAATGGCAGCTTTGGGGGGCGGGCGCTATGGCACTGCACTCTGCTAAGGGCGGTCCCCTCTTTGAAACCCCTCCCTCCCCCAAATCTTCACCGTCAAATCTCCAGGGATTTCTGAGCCCCGAACTGGCAACCCTAACAGAATGTCCCTGAAGACTAGTACACCGGGACACAGTGACGAACGATTGTTGATTGCCCAGCCGTGTAACGTGACCGAATGACAGAGCTGTGTACCTTTGCCTCTCACCATTTCAACCGGGCCAGAGGTGATCGCTCCTACTTTCGTTTTGAAGCCTGAAATGGTACTTTGACCCCCGGATCATAAATTGCACCACCTCTGGCCCGGCCCCAGCAGAAACGACAGAACCATCCTTTACTGCCGCCCCAGGTCATTTGCTTATTTGATAAAGCCAAGCCTGCCAGGGAAAAACAAACACCGTATCTTCGCCAAGGGAATATTCGAGGACAGTTTTCTTTGTGAACAGGGCGCCGGCCATGAAACGCTCTCTTGATTCCCATAGCCATGAACCAGTGAGGGAAGAGTGAACCTCCCTCTCCCTCGCAAATGGGCTTCCCGCCCACCTTTACCTGGGAGATCAGAGAGATACCCTAGAAAATATATGGAAGAATGGTAGACATTGTTGCCCCAGAAAGTTAGACCAGAACCAACAGGTTGAAATTAAATCAGAAGAGTTTTCGGCTAAACATTAGGAAGAACGCCCTGATAGTTAGAGCCAGTGTTCCCTCTAAGCCGAGTTAGTGTGAGCTAGCTCACAGTTTTTTAGCCGCCGGCTCACACATTTTTGTCTTAGCCCAGGAAGGACGGCTCCAGAGCAAACTAATTTAGGCGGTAGCCAAATCACTCGCTCACACCTTTAATGCCAGTAGCTCACGAAGTAGAACTTTTGCTCACAAGACTCCACAGCTTAGAGGGGGAGCATTGGTTACAGCGGTTCCTCAGTGGGACAGGCTTCCTCTTGGGAGGTGGTGGGCTCTCCTCCTTTGGAGGTTTCCAAACCGAGGCTAGATGGCCATCTGACAGCAACGCTGACTCCGTGAACTTAGACAGATCTTGAGAAAGGAAGGCAGGAAGGGTTGCCTCAGTGCTTAGTTCTGGGGCCTTTCTTACACACCCAGGGAAATGCCGATCGCCACTTTGGGGTCAGGAGGCAAAAACTCTCAGTTGGCAGAGTTTTGCCTCACCGTCGCCATCTCTGTATCGGGGGGGGGGGGGGGGGGGTATTTATGACTCGAGGCTTTGTGGGTAAAAGGAACAAAGAGGCGGTGAGTCTATCGCCCCGAGTTCCAGAGAAGGAGTTACTGGCCGCCTTCGGCAAGCCGAAACAAGCAGGAGGAACAGGTCAACACGCCGGCTTGGGAAACGGTGTCACAATCCGCCCGGCAATCGGAGGGAGTGTTTGCCGAGTGATTCAACCCTTGGCCCGAGCGGAGACTGAGCTTTCCTCAGCCGCTCAGCCGCCTTCGGGTGTTTGCTTCTGTTCCATTTTTCTTTTCTTTTTCTTTTCTCCTTCCCATCGGGAGATTGAACAAACAGATCTGACTTCATGAAGCCAGGAGGAGGAGGAGGAAGCAGAATGCTGGTCCTGTTTGTGGGGCTTTTTCCCTCGGCTGGGTGTTGCCAAAACTGCGCTCTTGGCCCTTTTGTGTCCTCGTGAAAGGGCCCGGACAGACACAGAAGCCAGGATTAACGGGGCTCTTTCGGCCACCCTGTGGAATCTCGGCCTGTGAGATCGGGTGAGCCCAGACTCTCGAGCGCACAGCTGCGTCGGCCAAATGGTATTTCGCCAACAAAGCAAACCCAGCCTCCCGCCCCGACTGCCCTAAATCTTTGAACAAAAGGTACCATCCTGAGGTTTGCGTCATGCACTGAGAAAAGAATACCAGACAGAAACAAAGGCACACCGGCCTGTGAAAGGCGGCCAAACCCACTAGCCAGACGACTGTCTTCCTTAAAACTGTTTTGCAAAAGCCGTGGAAGGGATTGGCCCACGGAGAGAGCCAGGTTTCTAGCGCGGATGCGAGATGCCTGTCTCGGTTTCTGTATTCTCCCATGCTGGAGTCTCACACACACTGAAGACGCTTGGCCACAAAAGTGGGTATGAGGACCGAAATCCCTGTTACGGATCACATACATGTTACTATGCACTTAAAGAAGCATCATGCGCCTGATTTAAAAGGACCTCTCCCAACACATGAACACATGAAGCTGCCTTATTTTGAAGCAGACCCTTGGTCCGTCAGATTTTTGTTGTTGTTGTTGTTGTTGTTCCGTCGCACAGTCGCGTCCGACTCTTCACGACCCCACGGACCAGATCCCGCCAGGCCCTCCTGTCTTCCACCGTCCTCTGAAGTTGGCTCAATTTCATGTTTGTTGCATCGATGACACTGTCTGACCATCTCATCCTTTGCCGTCCCCGTCTTCTTTGACCTTCGATCTTTCCCAGCATCAGGGTCTTCTTCTCCAGTGAGGGCTCCCTTCTCATTGGGTGGCCAAAGTCTTTGAGCTTCAGTTTCAGTATCTGGCCTTCCAGGGAACAGTCAGGGTTGATTTCT